GTTTTTGGCTGGGGCTGGGTTTGAACCTGCCACCTCCAGTATATGGGGCCAGTGCCCTAGTCCTTTGAGCCACAGGTGCCACCATCCTAGAGCTTCTTATTGAGGTAGAAAGTGAGGCTAGGTGCTGAAAGTAAGAGTAGATGATAATTAGCTGAAGCGTGGAAAGGCGGAGCCTCAACAACCAGAGGAAACCTGATGTGGCATCATGGGGTAAAGTAGAATCGATTCAGAGGCAGAAAAGATATGGCTGAATTTAGACATGGCCCATGTCTGTGACTTTCTCCAGCTGAACAAAAGACCAGCCTCCGTGGAATTTCCACCCCCAGAGGCAGCTGGTGTCCCATCTATTTCAAAGGCAAGCCTGGCTGCAAAGACAGCCTTGCTGTCATGACCTCATAAGAGTCTTCATTTTCCCTCCATCACTTCCAACCCTGCCCAGGGCTTTCTGCCTCTCACAGATGGGCTGCCCAGGTTGGTAATTAACAACTACAACAATTAGGTTCTCCAGATGCTGCATGGGCTGGTGACATTCTGTGACTTTTAAGGGAGAGCTGAGGGAGGATTGCTGAGAGAGGGGGAACTCACTGGTGAAGAGACAGCTGCTAGGGGAAAAAGGAATTAGGACACGGAGAGGAAAACTGAAAAAGCACAGAAGATGGGTAGGGAAATTGGGCCAGCCGTGGGCAAGGCAGGTTCTCGCGCAATGTGGCTGAGACGTGGGAGACCACCTCTAACCCTAGGGTACTGCGCAAGGAGTCCTTGCCCTCATATGGAGTCTGAACCTGGCAATGAGACCACCACAGTGCCAGGAAGGGACCTGGGACAGCGCCTGGACGCAGGACTTCGTTGTGGCTGCTGCCAACTCTCTGCTGACACCACCCAAGTGATGGGAGAATCTCCCTCCTTCAGCTCATGACCTTGGGACAGTGGTATCTCTCCTTTCCTCCTCCATTCCTTTCCATCTGCCCTTTAGGGGGAAGCTACTTTACACCAGCTGTAATAAATTCTAGGAGGGACAATTTTAAAAGACATTTAAGGATGTCCTGGCCAATGTAGCTGGCTTTGGTTTAACTCTTAAATCCAATTCTTCACCCACCTTCTCTGGAACCAGATCCTGCTGTCCTTTCCCCTCCCTGGGCCTTTTCTCTCCCCAGTGTCTGACACCAGCTCCTCTCCACAGCAGTTGACTGATGCCAGGTCCTGTACTGCACCCCAGGGTGCTTCTAGACTGGGTCAAAGGAGGCTTCTCTAACCCACTTCTTCACCTCACAGTCCTTCCTTCCTACCACACTCCAATTTCCACTGTCTCATCCCCCAAAGGAACATCCATTAGTCCTGCCCACTGTCACTCAATAGTGGTTTATTACAAATGTGAGCTTTACTAAAATTCTTTGACTCTACAGTTGAGTTAAAGTAGAGGCCAGACATGGAGGCTCATGCCTGTAATCCTAATGCTTGGGAGGCCAAGGTGGGAGGATTTCTTGAGATCAGGAATTCGAGACCAACCTGGGCAACATAGCAAGACTCCATCTCTACAAAAATTTTAAGAATTAGGTGGGCATGGTGGTACACACCTGTAGTCCAAGCTACTTGGGAGGCTAAAGTGGGAGGATCACGTGAGCCCAGAAGTTTGAGGTTTCAGTGAGCTATGATCATATCACTGTACTCAGCCTGGACAATAAGGAAGACCCTGCCTATAAAACAAACAAACAAACAAAAAAAGAATATAATTCATACATGAAAATGTGCATTTGTGGTGGGTGAACTGGATAATTTATAAAGAACATTTCATTTCTTTATATATTATGCAGTCTGTGGTATCCTGTTATAGCAGCACAACATTGACTGATACAGGCTGCTATAACCAAATACCATAGACTGGTGGCTTGAACGACAGATATTTATTCCTGGCAGTTCTGAAGGCTGAGAGGACCACAATTCAGTTCTTGATCAGGACTCCCTTCCTTGATGGCCTCCTGCTCCTCACAGGAGAAGGATCACGACTTCCCAGTCTCACCCCATTGGCTAAACTGAAGGACAACACGAGGCTTCAAGGGAGGCTGAGAAATGCCGTGTCCAGCTGCAGAGCCATGCCCAGCTAACCTCGGGCAGAGTCTATGGGGAAAGAGACCAATGAGCAGTTTGTGCAGCAGACCCTCCAGCTTGTCAGTGTTCATACACATCTTTCTTCCCACACACAGGACCCACTCACCACCTCCGTGAGGGGCAGCCCAGAGTCCCACCTAGGCCCCGCACCTACCTCTAAGCCTGGGATCTCATGATGCCATGTGCCCTCTTCCTCTGGTCCAGACATGGCTCTGTTGGTCTGGTGGCCTGTAAACTAAAAAATAATTATCCACTCTCCACTACACACCCTTCCTGCAACATGCAGCATGGAGTAGGAAAGGGAGATAGTGATAAAGTCTCCCATCAGGGAAAGAGCAGGGAACGCACGGTGGTCACAGTCCGCAGCAGTGATTGACCACACCAGCCAGGAGGTGTGAAGGCTCCCTGACCCAGCTTACATCCCCTCTCCTTTCTGCTCTGGGAGCAGCTCTTGTCTGTTGCCCCCTGGGAGCTTCTCCCTGGCCTTTATCATCCTTGGTCACACACATCTAAAATGGATGTTGGAGACAATGCCCTCTTTGGGGGGCACGTGGCTCTCCCAGCAAACTGGTGGTAGAGTTTGAGGGGCCCAGGGATTTTGCTAGAATTTGGCCAATTGCAGGCTTTTATAGGCCAGACTTGTGGCTTCTCCAGCTATACAGTTATAGCAAAAACTTAGAAACCTCCTGATCTATTTGCTTCTAATCACTTCCACATGGGAGTGCCCTGGACACCCAAAGATACTTCTGGACATAGTTCTTAGGGCAGTTCTCCTTTTCTATGACCTGGCTTCCCTGCCTGGCCCATCCCTGCTGTCTCAACTTAATGGTGGCTATTGAGGCACCGCAAACAATAGGCTGGGTGAGAAGATGACACCCTTAAGCAAATCTTAGCCTCAGGGATGAATCCCCTTACCAGGGAGAGAAGTCTTAGCAGTAGGTAACAGGTATGCCTTCCAGGTTATCGCAGGCTGGAGCTTGATCCCATGACACAAGAGCTATCCCCCTTTCCATCCTGTCTCATCTGTGTTTCCTCACTCATGTTGCCCAAACCTCTAAGACACTGTCTTAGATGTTTTGTGCTACAAAACAAACAATTTAGATTTTTTTCATTAACGTGGCATCTCATTTTCTGCACAAATTTCTGTATTTGTTAGGTGTGCAGGTTACGCTGCTATGACAGAAATAATCCAAAATGCAGTGACTCCAACACGATAGAATTCCATTTTTCTTTCACACTGCAAGTCACAACAAGCAAGCCCCAGGCAAATAGGCAACTCTATTCTGTGAGCTGACCAGGGCCCCAAGTCTCTTCTTTTCTTGCTGTTCCTCCATTCCTGTGACCGTAAACCACATGGTCAAAGCTGTCTCGCTCCTGCCACCTCCTCCAATCAGCCGGCCAGTGGAGGAGGGAAAGAAAAGAAGTAATAGTCAAGTGATCTCTTTACAAAAAAAAAAAAA